TGGGCAGCCTGCATCTGGAGACTAACCCCCACCGAGAAGCTTCCTCCCTTGCCACAAGAGCAACCCCAGCACCCCATCCTAAGGGCCCATAAATGCACACAAAGGCCAGCCCTACACGTGGCAGCTATCTATTACAGGAGGGGCCCTCAGGAGGGGTAGCATTGATTACAAAAAGGTTAAGATTGATTTCATAGGTTCAGGTGTGGGGGGAAATTAGCTGTTATCTGTTGAAAGATGACGCGGGAGAATTAATGAGATATAATGGTAGAACTAATGGTATGCAAAGGGACCTGCATGTCCTAGAACATGTTTACCAACCTTTTTGTCTTATACACGCACGGCCTCATCAATAATGCTCAATCATCCCATAATTGACACCAAGCCAAATTTGTGTTCCTTTTAAAGAACATTACGCTCAATATAATTTAGTGTTATCAGTATAAAGTATATTTTTCTTTAAAAAAGGAGCTGGACAATCATGGGATTAATCATGATTCTTTATTTAAATTTAATGGCAGTCCTAGTATTGAATTGTGATTTCTGTTTCACATCTAATCAATCAATAAACACACAAAAACAGAAGAATAATACAAATTAATTATAATAATAAAATAATAATTTAAATATGGAAAAAATCAAATAAAATACAACCAAGCCTTCAGATTAACCAGATACATTTGACCCATATTAATTTAGTTATACCAAGAGTCAAACAGTCAATATGCATTTAGGGAAGAAACAACCAACCATTTTTAAAGCCAAGGAGCAAGACATATCAGATAACAAACATGACTGCATTAGAATAAAGATATTTCGACAGTAAAAACATAAAGCTTTGGGCTTTCTGTTGTTTCTTGATACATGTAATACAAATATATGAAGAGGATCTGCATTTGTCCCTATACATTCTCATATACACAAGACTAGAACAAAAGACACAAGCATCCACAACAAACTGAAATATATTCAGATTACGAAAAAAAAAAAAGCTATCCTACATATGATATTATAATGTCTCATTGAGCACCATATTGTACATTCCAGTCATAAATAAAATGAATAAAAATAAATGAATAATTGGCCCTTGCTGAATTTGTACTACTTTTAATACCCTGCCCGACCCCGCCCCCTCACCACATAAACCACGCCCCTCCGGACTGTTCTCAGGAGGAAGTGCGCTCTAGGCTTATTTAGTATGGACGCGTTCGCTTGATGGTCACGCGCTGTAGAATTGTCGTCCGCGCGAGAGTCATTCGCAATGAAAAGGAGTGCGGATTGAAGAGGCGCGCGGAGAGAGCGTTTGTTTTGCGAACATGGGCAGCTGAAAGCTCGAGAACGAATGGAAACGAAAGGAAACGAAAGGTTGAATGGTTACCTTATACACCTCGCCAAAGTGTTACAGTAACCGGACTGAAGGAAGTTAAAGGGGCTTTTCAGCCTCACCACAGTAACAGGATCTTGGGGGGCGCTGCGTGCTAACGAGCTACATGGGACATACTTTGAATTATTTAATTGTGGCTCGCGCAAGCGCGTATTGAGAAGAGTGACGCGCAGATGGTAGACTAAAGCGCATTCATGGAAAACGGACATATTTGCGTTTGGGAAGGAAACAAGTGACACCGTATCGAGCGCGTTTGGCCCCTCTAGTCATGCGGCGGTGGGGGAGGATCGGAGCAGGGACCTCGCAGCGGATCTATGTTTCGCAGCAATGTTAATGCCCCATACCGAGGGATTATAAGGCCTCAAAATGACACCTGGTGTCCAAATGTGCACTCGAGAAGTTGCGTATAGAGTTTGTCCTGCGAATTTCTATCGATAATAACCCAAGCTGAAAGCCCAGTTCAATCTAAAGTCATTAAACGGGAATGTATATATCAAGTCACGTTGAATGTAGCTCCCAGTGCAGCATGCCAAGTCTATGATCTGCTTCACTTGCTTGAGTTGATCAGGGAACCGTTTCGGAAGCTTTTGTGTCTCTTAACGCGTCTTTATGTGTGAAGTTATTTTGTGGTCCTCTGCGCAAATGGCGTCTTTCCCAGACTCCGACCTGCAAACATGTCCGCTGTGCAAGGAGCTGTGCGGCTGCTCTGCTCCGATCTCCTCCAATTCATCTACCTCCTCCTCGTCCTCCCAGACCTCCAGCTCCTCATCTACCTCATCCACCAGGAGGCTGCACGTCCTGCCCTGTCTCCACGCCTTCTGCAGGCAATGCCTAGAGGGCCACAGGAGCCCAGGTGACCCTCTGAAGCTCAGATGCCCCACATGCGACCAGAAAGTGTGTCTGTCGGAATCAGGCGTGGACGCGTTGCCTTCCTCCAACTTTCTTTTCAGTAACCTGCTGGATGTGGTGGTCTCTGCTGAGGAACAGGGCAAGAACGGTCGGTCTTCATCGGTGGTCCATCACGGTGGTCTTCTGAGACCCCAGCACCTCTCAGACCCTCAGTGCAGCTCTTGTGATGAGGGCAACCCCGCTACCTCCCACTGCCTGGACTGCCAGGAGTACCTGTGCGATAACTGCGTCAGGGCCCACCAGAGGGTCCGACTCACCAAAGACCACTTCATCGAGGGGCTTCTGGAGAGCTTACACCTGGCCAACCGCACCAACAACTCCAACACCCCGATCAACATCTCCCAGTCCTTCCATAAGAACTTCTCCATGCTGAATGTTTTCCAGGAGAGGATGGGCTTCTGCCAGCAGCATGATAACGCGGTGAGTTGTGTCTCCTGGGATTCATTGTTCGTTTAGTGCATGTTCCAGTTATTTTGTGTAGTGGTTTAAAGATTTGAGATGGCTGCTGAAAGGCTGAAGGTTCGAACCTCAATTCAAGACCGTTACTGCTGTGTCCACGCTTTGACTGCAACTGTAATAAGTGTACTGTGCATGTATCTGCTAAGTAGTACCCTCATTTACAGTCAGACCTACAAAGAAAGTTGTCACAGATGCACAGCTTCGTGGTCAAGGATGTAACCACGTATTCATAATTTAGGGGACCATGTGTAATCATTTAAGGATGAACCATTGGGAAACCCATATTGGTCGACCACTAATCTTCAATTTCTATTTTGGGTACGAGTCTGTTTTGTGGTGATTATTGCAAAGAATTAATGCTATAAATTACTGTAGACATCTGCCGTTGTTTTTACCACAGATTAAGAATTACAGTATGGATTTAAATGTATTTTTAAATATTATAATTTCTGCTTTTTAGTCTGTATTAATCATTAGTTATTTGAGAAAAAAACAATGTTATGTATTTAAAATGCTATGAACATTATTTAAAATGATCAGTTTATGCTTTGTTTGATCATTTTTATAATTTATTTTATTTATGCTACTATATTTATTATTTTCTCCTCTAAATGGTCCCAGATTTATGAGTAGGGTTTAGGGTGTTAAGCATAAAATGCTTTGTATATAATGAATAGATGTATCAGAATTTACTAATTTGAGTGTCGAAAACCATGAGTACTTTAGTACACTTGTGAATATAGCTGCAAATACTGATCATCTGTATTTATGCGTCACTTCAATGATTCATATCTGTTTTTGATAAGGGCTTGTGTGTCATTTCAAGAATTCCTGACTGTGCATCTGTTTGAGGGTTTTAAATAGCAGGCATTTTTCCTGTTATTTTCCCATTGGAAGTTAGCCTCTCAGACTTTGATCACCCTGTCATGATGCTTTCTAGAAATCAGCACTTTATATATTTTTTTTACCGGTGTTATGGATTCCAGTGCAACATGCAGGGCAGCTGCGTGTAGAATGGCTTCAGCCATCCATATGTTTTCTAGATTGATGTGAGTTTCACTGCTGTTTCAGAAGTTATTTTTTTCCTACAGGTCTTTATCTGGGACATGGTGTTCTCGGTTTGAGCAATGTTGTTGCCCAGTGTTGCATGAACGTCACCGGCCTGTAGTATATAAATTCTTAATCGTGTTTTTACCTGTGGGTAGGGCTGTCGCGATAACCGCAATATCGCAATACCGCGCTATTGACGAGCAAACCGCAGAGGAATGCAAGAACCGCAGCAATCGCAAATTTTGCATGTTTTCTTTTTTCGTAAGGTTATGCCCTTCTCGTTTTACACTTCATGCATGTGGACTGAATATTAAACAAGTTAGTAATGATAACATAATGTGTACCATGCTGACTTGTAGAGGCTCCGTAGATTTGCTCTTAACAAGCCTAAATAGACAGTGAATGAGATAGAGATCGACTGAGTACGTGCGATTACTTGCGTCCCGTCCTCCAGGCCGAGTCATAAATATTTGGGAAAATAGGTTGTCATGTCCAAGGAAAGCGAAATCTCTGTCTTAGCATCGACGCATAGCTGGTCAGCTGAGCCTTCTAAAGTGGCGCTCAAAGCTAAAATGATTTCAACAGCATGTTTCATTGCATCTCTTTGAATTAATAAATAGTTAAATGACAGTCCCTTTTCACCACCTTGTGTCACAACACTGTAAGTGCACTGACTGACAGCCCGTCTAGAACACGCGCAGGTGGAAATATCAATAGAAAGTCTCTTGTCCAGTCAGATTAGAAAATCAGATTACACCTAGGCTAACTGTTATACATATATGGCGACAATACCACATACCGCACTATTGAGCCACTCAAAATTTCCGCTAGGGAAATTCCCTCACCGCGACAGCCCTACCTGTGGCCTTTGCACTGTTTCATGTAGGCATAGACAAGCCTGATTGTTTAGCTAGTCGAGTACTACTGCTGTCAACGATAAAATTAAAAAAATATTGTATTAGAATATTTGTGCTCTCAAAAATGAATATTTGAATATTTGTTCAATTAAATTACATTTAACGAGAAAGTTTTTTCTTTTTTTTTTTAACCAAATGGTACATTTTTACCATTTCTGAACAAGCTTGTGATTAGGCATTATACACCAACAATGTTCAGAAACAATAAAGCAGACCGTGGCAATTACAGTACATACAGCCTATGTTTATCTTGTTTTAGGGCTGGACGATATGGACAAAATTTATATCACAATATATTTCTTAATTTCGGTCGATACGATATAATTCTGATATCGATATGAACACTATTAAAAAAAGCCTTGTAAAAACTGCCGAGAACGCTCACAACAGATGTCTGCGCATACAAATGTATGAAAAATGAATTTGCCAAGTCTATGATACCTCATATAAAACCATATATTTTAGAAAAAAAAACTAGACTCTGCCCCGGTACGAGTTGTCTAGCTATTCATTAGCTTGTTTGTTTGATGAAAAAAGATTAAATGTAGTTGCAATAAATGCGTTAAGAATCCATACAACTGCAGCAGTGGAGGACTATTATTCTGCTGCGTGATACTGCGGAAGAACCGATGAAGGCACGGTTTGATATTCGGCTGACCAATCAGCAGAAAGGGGCGTTTAATTCCCGCCCACATGTAGAAATCGAATATTCAAGCTGTTTATTCATTTTTTTCACCCATTAACAAAAACCAAAAAATTTCAGCTGAATTTTCGTTTTTCGTTTTTTGCAAAAAACGAAAAAGGAGCCATTTCTCATTTTTCTACTTTCAATATTGAACAAAAAATCAAATGACCAAAAGATACACGGACCTATTGTGATAACTCATTTTCACTGATTCATTTGATCAAAAGTAATTCCATTTAGTAAGATAATTTTTATTAAAGTAATTCCAAATTTCGCGAGGCAGAGGACGACATTCTGTGATCAAATACAATGAACTTGTTAACATGCTCCACAGGGCCACCCGGTGCATTTAGATATAACTGACTTTTAGTTTGCTTAGGATTTTTCATGGATTCCCTGCATTTATGGCTAGCAAAGCAACACGTAATAGAATTCGAATAGTATTTATATATATATATATATATATATATGCATACATACATACACACAGATAAGGGTTATTTATCTGAAAATCAACCCTACATAAATTCATCACATACTTGCACATTTTGTCCATGTGCAGGGAGTTTTTAATAGTACATTGGGCATGTTAATTTCTGAATGCAGAACGTGCCGTCATGCTAGTGGTATCAGGTGTGTGCTGTGCGGGCTCATCCTGCATACCTCACATATAGTCCACAATGCACTGCACTGGGCCAGGCAGAAACTCACCACACCATCTATCAGCCTCCATACTCGCATACACACAGGAGGACTCTGGTTTCATTGAGCCCTCATGTTTTCAGAGCTACTGTCGTTAACAGCATAGCTTATGCGTGTTCCACTGACATTATGAACAAATTAACCTGTGATTTAATGCCTAACTGGTGACTAATAAGATGACACAATTCTTTGTCATATTTGTAGCCTGCTGAGCATACAGTGATCTCAGTGAATAAGGCCATATTTTCCAGAATTATATTCTCCCAGGACAAATTATTGAATTGCTAAATTTTGATTTAAGCTATAGATTTATGTGTCGTGTTGTTGGCTTCATAGATGTGCAGGTTCTGTGTTTTATGGAAGAGGAATGAAGAGAAGTGCATGTGTAGTGGATTAATATGAAATGATTTCTATAGAGTGGAGTTCAGGTGGGACAGGAAGCTCTTGCTCGGAGGCTGTGTCTATGGAATGCTATGACATCAGTTCCCAGAAGCCACCTGGGAGACCGGTGGGATTCTCAATCATTGTCTACATCTCTGTCTGTCCAGTTGGTTTGTTTGGAGTGAACCGATCTGGCCATTAGATGCTTTTTACATTCCTGTTTCTTTGTGCATGTGTTAGAGGTAAAGAAATCCTTCAGGTGAAAGGTCAAACAGTAGTAACATCCAATTCCATTCTGCACCTGAAGCAATTGAGTTTACATTTAACAGCACTTCATGACATCTGCTTTTTTGCTTAAACCCATTTAAACAATTTTATTTTGGATTGTGAGTCTGCAGATGTTAAACATTTTGTGCTCATAAGCCTGAACACACTGAAACCTAACCTATAATCCTTGTGTTCTCCTCTCTTAATTAATGGAAGGACTAATGGTGTCCATCTCTTTGTTTGAAAGTAATTGCCTTTGCATTATTCATGCACTGTCCACAGTTTGCACTATCGACTCCTTTTGTCACGTAAAGGACTGGTCTATTAGGCTGCATTTACACTTCAAGCCTAATGCCCAAAGGCACGGTTTGATATTCGGCTGACCAATCAGCAGTAAGGGGCGTTTAATTCCCGCCCACATGTAGAAATCGAATATTCAAGCTGTTTATTCATTTTTTTCACCCATTAACAAAAACCAAAAAATTTCAGCTGAATTTTCGTTTTTCGTTTTTTGCAAAAAACGAAAAAGGAGCCATTTCTCATTTTTCTACTTTCAATATTGAACAAAAAATCAAATGACCAAAAGATACACGGACCTATTGTGATAACTCATTTTCACTGATTCATTTGATCAAAAGTAATTCCATTTAGTAAGATAATTTTTATTAAAGTAATTCCAAATTTCGCGAGGCAGAGGACGACATTCTGTGATCAAATACAATGAACTTGTTAACATGCTCCACAGGGCCACCCGGTGCATTTAGATATAACTGACTTTTAGTTTGCTTAGGATTTTTCATGGATTCCCTGCATTTATGGCTAGCAAAGCAACACGTAATAGAATTCGAATAGTATTTATATATATATATATATATATATATGCATACATACATACACACAGATAAGGGTTATTTATCTGAAAATCAACCCTACATAAATTCATCACATACTTGCACATT